CGCGCTCTAATTGATTTGGTCCCTGCAGCTGCCTGGTTCCAATTTTTCCTCTCAGCTGGTGCTTCGCTGCTGAACGCCTAAAGCGAGCCTGTCCACAAGTCGGCTTCGAAAGGCTTTGATGCCGCAAGCCAACATCGAAGGGAGACGACGCCAGCAGTCTCCAGGGGTGCTACCCCAAGCCAAGGCAGATGAAAAGCGGCCCTACACTCTGGTTTCAGGCTTCACGGACGAGAGCTTCAAGGCACTGAAAATTCCGTGAACCTCGGCCCGGTGCTGGACAGTTTTCCACATGCTTGGGTCGGGACATTTGGGGGACAGCAAATCCTGGTCCCTAGCAAGTGCGCAGCCAAATTCGTTGCAAAGTTACAAGATAGCCATGTTTTGCAATATGCCATCTGCAACCCGGCATGGACGGACTCCTGACACAAAGAGAGGCGTTGCCTGCAGCAGTGCAGGCAAACACAGCACTTGCCAAGCACTTCAGTCCAACTTTGCACCGTGGGCGCACTGCACCGACCTTTCGGCAGCGCCAACAGCTCAAGTGCAGTCTCTGGCCCTTTTGCCCTCCAAGAGCCCGACCCCAGGGTCCGCAGCATACGCGCACAAGCTGGAGCTGGCAGCCAACAATCTAGAAAGCGCTACTAGAACTCAAATTCTTAAGGTTTACCCGATACCCTGGTCCCTAGAATCCGATTTCTCAAGGATGGCCGTTTGTGCCCTGGGACAGCTCACGATGCAGTGGTAATTGTGCAGGAAGTCTGGAAGTTCAAGCAATTCTGTTGAAGTGCATTGTGAAAAGACTTGGGGCAGCAGGCTGTACCAAATCAAGCTGTCTCAGCATTTCCTCATGGAAAAGCCTGGGGATGAACTGACCTTGCGGGAGCTGTTTACGCGCAGCAGGGACTCCGTTTGCCAAAGGTTGCCTCTGTCGGACGTTCCGCTTTAGTGGTGCGTTGCCTCGGTGCGCCGCAGCCTGTGAGCAAAGCTGTTCGGCGTCGCCTTGCCCGGCCTTCCTCCTCGCTCCAATTCCGTCCGGATCCGAGATTTTTGGGGCAGACTGGGGACACATCGCCTCATCAAGCGAAGTATGTCTCAGGGGAGTTGGCAGTCTCGGGTTTGTGCTTAGGGCTTATGTTCTTAAATTTCTCAGTCAGTTTGCCTTGCCCGGCGTGAAGGGTAGCTGGTGGGGCTCGCGTCCAGGATTCTCGGCCTCCTGGGTTTTGCAGCTGCTTTGCAGCGCAGAAACCCTGCAGTGGGTTTGCGTCAACCTGCTGCCTGCTTTTTGCTCTTTGCAGCATTCCGCATTCGGTCTTCCAGGCATGGTGCTTAGCAAGACCTGTGAGGCAAGCGCCAGCAAGGTAGCGAAGAAGCGAGTGCGGGGCTAGAGAACGAGTCGGCCCTCCTGGGTTGCAGTTTCCCCGTGATGGTCGTGGCGAGGAGCTGTTCTTGGTAAGTTGTTTCCCAATCCTTGAATGCGCTTGTGAACCACCTGCTTGCTTCTTTCCTGGCATGCAGCATGCGCCTGCCAAGAGAATCGATTCAAATTCGGCAGATGAAAGCGCAGCAAGGATTGCCAGAATCGGCCATGCTACAAAACACGAACGTGCTGTGCTTGCTATATTCTTTAAGTGTCGCATATCTGCAACATATCTGGAGAAGTTCTGGTTGGCCTGAGCACAGGCCTATCATGTGGAGAACGGAGCGTGACAGACGTCACCGTGTCCTAGGAAGCAAGTCGCCGACTTGCTCACAACAAGCGTTTTGACGCGAAGCTTCAGCCATGGCAGAGCGAGCCTCCTGAAGCCAGCTCATGCAGGTTGAGGGGCGTATAGTGACTTCTAGCATTGATTCGGGGCTGGATGCGGTTCGCAAAGTTTACAAAAGAAAACTCTTCTTTGTGAGACCTTCCCATAAACAGCTATTCCTGTTTGTTGGATTGGCGCCGAGCGTTTTGTTGGCTCACATGTGTCGTAGCTCTTTATGAGTTTTCTCGTGCAAAGTCGAGCCTCGATGCAGGGCAACCTGAGTCAGCGTGCAGACCAAACATGACCAAACGCCCGTCGCGGCAGAGGGATTTGCTGCGAGCGGCGAGGTACGTGCTGGCAACCAATTTCCTTCAGACAAGCTGCGTGTCTTATCCCAGCAGCCCTCCAAGAGGTGGGGGTAATGTCATGCCGTTTGCCGTAAGACAGCATCTTTGCGAGCTGTAATTATGCCATATACACATCAATGGAGTTTCTGAACTGATAGCACGCAGCTGCTCGGGCTTAAGTGCTGCACACGTTAAGCGGAGCTCACACATTCTAAACAAGGGACTGCTAGAAAGCATTGGTCGCGACATCGAATCCCCGCGCCAGCTCGGTTAGCCGAGGACCTTCCCCTGTGCCCTAAAAAGTTCTAGGTGCCTTTTTCGCGGCACGAAGAATGGGCACAGCCCTAGCCGGAGCTTCCGTCAGCTTGTCTATGGAGTCCTCCATGCTGCGATCCTAAGACTCGGGACTGGGTGCACACTTGTCCATACCACCTCCCAACATGTGCCCATTCTAAGCATTCAAAGCATAGGAAGCCCATGGTGCAAAGTCTGGAGCAAAACCCACATGCGTTTAAGCGTCTTTCCCTCGACTCGCCGGGGCGGATGAAAGCGAAGCGCGGAACGGCAGTTGCTTGCTTCATTGTTGATGAATTTACACTGATCTCAGGATCCATTCGCGTTCCTTGATTTTGCCGATTTGTCTTCCCAAAGCGCCTTCTGTTGGCTTCTCAAGGACTGCTGCACGACCGTGCTGGTGCTCAAGCCCCCGCCTGTCCGAAACTGCCCAGAAATTGCGTACAAGCCCAGAGCACGTACGCAGGCAGTTCGGTAGAGGCATTCTGGAAGCCCAAAGCCTGAATTTACGCAGTGGACACTTCACTTCCAGGAACCCGGAGCAACTGGAAAGTGTCCGCACAGTTTACGGTTCAGGCTCCGTTGAGCTTAGGGTTTCGTTTTTCTGGGAAACAGCTCTTGCCTCGGCTTCACGGCAAGCAACTGCCATCAGGTGGGCTCCTATGGTAACGAGCAGGACCAACAAGGAATTGCAAACATTTAGTGATTCGGCTGCTGGCTTATGGTAGATTTTCGACTATGGTTGCCATCTCGTGTGTCAACAGTAGCCTATCCCAGATCCACGGCAGGTTCCAGCACAGGAGGGGTGTTCAACCAGAGGTTTACAGTCAGCTGAAGTAGAGCAGCCTCGAAAGATGGAAGCAGACTTGCATTTCATCTTGGTAGTGTGTAGGGTTGTGCAAGGGCTATGTAGACGGACGCACATGCATAGAAGACCCATGAGCAGCAACCGCAAAAGGCTGAGCAGCTGAGCTGTACATGAGCTTCTCAGGTTTTTTTCTGATCCGTCCAAGCCTTGCACGCCTCAACTCAGCTTGTCTCGGCCTATCCTTGGCTTAAACTCGGGAGCTCAACGATCCCTCGTCTTGTTGCCTGATCCTTGAGCATCGGACCCTGTCCGATGACCTCCTGTGAGCGTGAGGTGCGTCTACTTCACTGCTGGCCTCTTGCAGCCTGTCACCAGCATTCTGGACTGCCGCTGTGCTGGGCATTTCTGAAGCATTTGAGGAGCCTTGACACGAAAAGCGTCTCGGCTCGTGCAGGATCCTGTCAAAGGACAGTCGATCAGCCTTCCGCGTCGCGCCTTCGCCTAGTGCTGGCTCTCTGAGGCTGCTAAGTGGGAGATGTTCGCACGAGGGACGCTGGCTCTCAAGACCGGCCGAAAAGTTCAAAGTTTCCGGGGCGACATGTGTTTGAGACCTCCACTGTCATGAATCACAGCCCGCCCAAGGCACGTTTGGAGAAGCTCCCACATCCGCACAGAGGGAGCATACGGGCTTCATTCGGTTGAGCCATGGAGTAACAGTCGATGCTTCCTTGCTTCAGCCTTCCTTGCCAAGCTGGTCAGCTCGGAGCTGTCAGCCGAAGAAAACATCAAATCCGGGGCGAGTATCCTACTATATCCTACAGAAACCCTTTGAGATAGTAGATCCGCCTCCTCTGCTCTCTCTTGGTGGCAGGAGAGTCTGTTAATGTGCTCCTAGGATTCCTAGCGTTGCGCCCAAGTTTGAACCTGGCGCCCTACCTCCGGTTGCACCTCGGTGCCGGTTGCACTTTGCAGCCTGGTTTACAGAGGCGGCTGGGTCTGCATTGAGTCGAACTTTCCGATTTTCTCAATAAACATGTGAGCAAGTTGTGAGCTGTGTAGTTTCTTTGGGCAAAATACACTGAGTTTCGTTGTAAAACCTCACCTCTCTGCCAACTTCCAATCAGAACGCTAAAGGCGAAGCCTGCACCCACCCCAAAGTCTAAGCGCCCTAAACCCACAGTTGCTCCATTCTCTTCAATCTGCAGGCCAGCAGGCAAGACAAGCAGCCGCTTCAGCGATCTTTCAGCCGTCCACCAGCGACTGGCGGGTGGGTCGAAGGCATCGAAGTCAATCAGAGCGCAGAGCCCAGACAACCAAAAAGGACTTTGCGAGATTCCTGGAGGAGAATATGGAATATTAACATTGTATTGTACTCATCAAGCTTGGTATCGTACACAGGTTGTCTTTTGTGGCTGCGTGTTTGGCTCAACACATACAGTGCTGGATTCGTAATTGTCGGAGCACAGGCACTCGAGTTGGCAGGTTCGCAATGGTCCATTCCCATGTCTTGACAGCCCAGGAGCAGATAACGATAGCGCGCGGTGTTGCCTGCTGTTGGAGTTATGCGAGAATAGATTGTACCGCAACATGCATGGACGGTGTGCATGCGGTGGTGCAAAAGGCTCGTCGGAGAGCTAGTGAGCGTGTAATGCCGGTGTGTGCTCTTAGTAACTCTTAGTCTTAGTATGGTTGGAATTAGTCTTGTTCAAGCGAATGGTGTGTGTGGTCACGGAAGAACATGTCTGTTTACTCGAAGCGGGATCGGCCTGCTGTCAGTTGCTACTGCTTCTTCGTTTCTATGTGCAGAACGCGGGAAACGCCATCATCACGGCGACCTTGCTGCTGCTGCTGCTGCCCTGGACAGCGCCTCGCACTTGGGTTGTTACCAGCATGCAACAGCCACATCTGTCCAGCACCGTCCACCTTTATGACTTCCATTGGCACAACCGGGTTGATGACCACTCAGATTCTCCTTGACGCTGTGTCTTTTCGTGTTCGCTTTCAAGGACCACTGCACATGCCGATTGCAGCTCTTTCTGGCACATGATGCACATGGTGTCGGAAAGGTGTCTAGCCGCGCCGCATACGGCAGCAGCGGACGACGATTGCTTGACCTGCCCCTTCTGCGTGTGTCTGCAGGACTTCGGACCGCTGATTTGGGGCCTCATAGCCTGTTCGGAACTGTCGGGCACCAAAATGGAAGATTGCTCGCAGCAAATTCTATTGCTCAATATGTGTCGATCATTCCAACACATTTGGCAAGCACTGCTTGCACGATCGGCGTTTCAGGAGCCACTTGTGATATGCTAGTTTTGCTTTCAGTGCGAGGCTGGCTCTGCTAGTGCTGGGCCTGGGGTCTGCAAGACGGCAGCAGGCACGGGAACCGGGATGCAGCGGTATTGGAGTCACAAAAGGTTCCACTGCTTCTCAGTTGTTTCCTTTGGAGTTTGGGGTTCCACATGCTGGCATGAGTCACAACATTTCCGGCTGCCAAAAGAGATTTATACACGCGTGCCATGGTGCAGCTGCAGCGGGGAGTGGGTTTGTGCAAGCAAGTGAACCCATCGTGAGGCCCAAGTCCTGCTGGGCTGCTTGGTAATCGCGGTACGCCCTTCCGGATTTGCAACATGCAACATGTTCTTGCATCCTGTTTTCATGTATTGCACATGGCAGTCCAGCCGAAGGGGTAGCTGGGGCGAAGCTGCTTGGTTACCATCTTCTGCTGGACGGTGTTGCCTTGGCAGTCCATTCTGGCAGCAATTCCGGCTGGAGAATACATCGAGCCAGGGACTCGCATTAGCCAACTGTCCAGTTTGGTACTGCAACGGTTGCAGTCCTTGCAGTCCTCTGCAGTTTCCGCACTCTCCATGCAGTGCATTCCTTGATGATTTTTTTAAAGGTCCACCTTCATGGATGAATACTGGCGCCTGGGGTTCGCAGCTTATCGGTTTGGAGTTTCGGACGAGAAGCAGCAAGTCGTCCTGAAGTTTGGATCCCTCCATTGCAGGTACGGTGCTGTTTATGAAGGTGTCAGTCCTCTTTCGCCTGGTACGAAACTCGGAGGTGTCTTTGAGTTGGATCCAGTTATTTCCAGATTTTCTCTGAAGGAGGCGTTTGTAGTGCTGCAATGGCTCGGCAGCACAGCAGCACAGGAATATCGGAATATCTCAGCCTACGTGGAGCAATGCAGCACTTGTGAAAGCTCCCGCAATGATTTTGGTAGCTTCTGTTCAGGTGCTTCCTATCTGGATGCTTCTTTCATGGCTTTTGACAAGACGGCCTACATCGATGCCAGCAGCTGACAGATTTCAGTGTCTGAAGCTTGTCCAGTGCAGCACAAAGTTTGCGAGCTTCCAAGGTCTCCAAGGGTCTCGGCTTCATCAAGGCACGCTGTGTGATGTCCTTGAAGTAACGAAGTACCGCCCCTCAGAAGCTCAAGAGCAACATCGGGCATGGAGAAACGCGATGCAGGGGGGGCATCTGTACTGCGTCGCGCCGGTCCTGAGTACTGACCTCGTTTTCTTGTGCTACCGCAGCTGCAGTAGCACACCGTTTCGCGAGGCAGAGCCAGTCGAGCCTTCAACGTATCCTTTTGGGTGACAGGGATTGACTGCTGTGCTCGGCGAGGTGGCATTCAGGTGCAGTGTGAGTGCATCCATGGCATGTGATTCGGCAGGAAGTTTCGCGTGCCTGGGATCTCAGGACTGACGTTCACTCTGAACATGATGTAGTCATAGCAAACCCGCTTGCCCTACGTCCCAGCCCCGGCGCTAGGATGCAGCAGGGGGCTCTGGCGTTGTCCTCTCTGATAGTGTGCTCCTCAGGGAGCCTGCCCATGCAAGCAAAGTGCAAACGCAACTTTCTTTAACTGTCCCGTAGCTGCCTTGATCTCGACAGGAGTCTGTGGAAAGAGCTTTAGCTCGGGCGATTTTCGGATGAAGCTGTTCCTGTGACGTTCTGCAGGCGACGGCATCTTCACCAGAGCAGCACGTGACCCGAGATCCGTGCACTCAGATTCGTCTTTCATAAAACGATGCAGGGGACACGCGGAGACACTTGACAGTGAGTGTTGTGTGATATTTCACGTGCACTTTGTGCAGGTATGGCACAGTCAGTGAATGGCTTTGGCATCCTGCCGGATGCGCAGATACTTCTTCTCGTTTGGACCCATGTCGCAACTTCTTGAGACCAGTCTGCTTGTGGTGTGTTGTCTTTCCTCGTGTAGCCTTTGCAAGCCGTTGCTGATCTGACGTGATTGCTTGATAAAGGGGAGGCTACATAGTTGTATAATCATGACTACATAGTTGTAGAATCATGACACCGTAGATTCAAGACGGTCTTACATAGCTTTTGCATGCTTTTGTTTTGTTCACTATTATGGCCCTGCAGGATGCACGAGCCGGGGCTCTATGCAGAAAGCTTGCATGCCAGGCAGCTGCTGGGAAATCTGCAAGGAATCTTGAAGAATTGTTGGAACTGTTGGATCCATTTTTGGGCAGTGCATTGACCTTCGTCGGGCTCACCATCCTCGCTTTCCTCATGCTGGGTCTCTGTGGCGGCCCCGGAGCATCGGAGAATTGAAAGAAGCCCACAACCACCCCATGAGGCGTTGGGCAGTGTGCTGCGCCTTGCCTGCAGCTTCTGTCAGATTCTGTGCCTGTGCTAGCTTCTCGAAAAGCCCAATTCAGGTGCAAAGCCTCCCGCGCCGGAAGTTCTGAGTGCCGGCAGTGAGGTCAGAGGTTTTCCTCCTGTCCGAACCCCGCAACCTCGGAGTATCCATGCGGCAAGGCGAAGGAGCGTCGCAAAATCTGCTCAAAGAGAGTGGGAGCCAGAACGCGGTCCCTTCAAGCATTCTACAAGTGGAAGCTCAACCGCTTCAGCTTCCGTGCCACTCTCAAGGGGCTCACATGGTAGCTGGGGTAGATGGGAGTACATGCGTTGTGACGACCACGTGGAAACTCTAAACAAGTTGTGATCCGAGCCATGAAAGGTGGTTGTGTTAGACGCTAGCACCTATCGTTGGTAGCGCGGGCAAGCTAGGCAAGCTGATTTATGAAAGCGCTTGAGAAGACTCTACTTGTGTCCCGCTTTCGGCAAGTAGGTCTTTGTAAGATCGCAGCATGATGGCGTCCTCGGCTCTTGGATAGCTGTATAGGAGCTTCACTTGTGTTTCACGACGTTGCAGGGAATCTGCAGGTGTTGATGAAGCAATGTGAAGTTGTGTGAAGCTGCATAATGTCGATGTAAAGTCGGTGCAGGATGCCGGTCGCGGGTCGGCGGCGGCACTTATTTGGCGGCAGGTGCTCTTTTTTGCGAATCCTTTGGGCTCGAAGGTGGAAGGGGAACCGGTGGAGGCTGCTCCTTGTTGCAGCTGTACCTGGAGTCGATGCCTTTTCCTCCGCAGAATGTTGGGCTGGATCCCAAGTTTGAGAACTGCGACGTCTTCGTGTCTGGGAAGCCGTTCTTAGGTCGGAGGGTGGACTCCTGAAATCTGCTGCAGCGCACCTGGGGCCAAGGGAAACCCCCTTTGCTGGGACTCTGTCGGGCACCTGGCATAGCGAAGCCGGAGCCAAAGCTTTGTTGGGGCTGCCGCACTCGCATCAACAGGTCTTCACCTATGACAGATGCTGCACAGAGACGGAAGAGGGCATCCAGGCCCGGGGTGGGGTCGCGAAGAAGCTGAGCGCTCTGCTCGCGTTTTTTTGCAGAAAACATCTAGAAAGATAGAAGGGAAGAGAGACGAGAGTATGTCAGTGGCCGTGCAGTGATGTGTCAGTTCGACCTACGTCGCCGAAACTTCGTGGCGGACATGGTGCGGAGGCGGCCTGCAGCAGCAGAACTCGATGGAGGAGTATCTGCTGTCCCTCTTGTTTCTTACTGCAGGGGTGCCACAGTGCAGTTTGACATTCGACAAGTCTTCGGTGGCCGTACCGGTGCCGTGGCATCCAGGACTGGGTGTGACGGTGTGATACCATTTTGCAAAACAGAGGGGGGATCTGGATGTGGCCGCCTATCGTGAGCAAGAGAAGAGTCTTTTGGTGCCAGCA